CTAATCTGTTGACTTCCGCATGGTTTTACCCAGCCAGGAGCGGCCTCTGTAAATAAGGAGCAATGCGGTAGTCAACCGTTAGGCGTACGTAAAACGTGTCCTGACCAGTGAAGCTCATCGAGGTGAATTCGATGAGCTACCGAATTCCTCCTCGATACATGCTCAAGCACACGACGACTTACATCAAGGTTAATAAAACACTCAATTTATTCCACTTGTGTCAGACTATATAAGCATCGATTGTCGAAAATCCTCAGAAAATTGATGTTTACTACTCGCAAATTCAAGGTCTCACAACCGTATAGCAGGGCTGATTGAACTGTGGCGCAGTACACGCAACTTTTCAACTTTAATGATACGTGGTGTTGTCACCACTAGTGTTTGGTCCTGCGCATGCTGCTTCAGCCTAGAATATTCGTGACGTTATTTCATTTGTTGTGTTACCGTCGTCCGTCCGCAACTGCTTAGAAGTCTTGCAGCATTACCTTGAAGTTTGAAGACGTAAAGTGGATACCGAACGGAGCAGCAGAATTTATCAGTCAGTCAAATGTGCTTTGCAAGTCCTACATACAATAAGCGGACAGACGATGCCGTCAAAGTACTGGAAATAGCACAACTTTTCCGCAATTTCTCATTAAATATTAACATTCTGGAAACCATTAGATGCGTTTTTCAGTAGTTTGTTCATAAAAAAATCAAATAGAAAGGGCAAAATAAGGCACCACTGACGAACACCGCCGTTGTTTTCCAACGATCCACTTACTGCGTAGTTGACCATCACTCAACCAGAGGTATGTGGCTACACTACAAAATCAGTGAGTTCCTTTTAGAAGAAACGAGGGCTTTGGGATCAACTGAGTCCAAGGCTCCGATCGAGTCAAGGAACACCGCGATCATTGGTCGACGATGTGAATGGCGCAACTGGAGTCAACCCTCTACCTGGAGGGTAAGGAGATTTAACCTTCTGTGACCTCTATATCTGACGTTCCAAGCAGGATAAAATCTTATGGCTTGATAAAAGCCATTCTGTGTAGCTCATTGTGTCCCAGATGTGCAGAAACTATCAAATTACGTTAAGGTGCAGTCTTTTGGTGATGTCCCACCTGAAACCGACATCACCTCTGCTAGAGATAATATGCTGATAAACAAAACAGCTCCGTTAGCCCTAGAAATGCGACGAAGCCAGCCTTGATTTCAGTTTTCATAAACGCGCTGTGCATTGGATGAATAAATGAGTTCACCATTCACTAACGACCATTATCGTACACATGTTCATCAGACAAGTAGGAAGAGACCAAAAGGTGAACTATGGAGGCTCGAATTATCAGTAAAAAGTCACTGAGTACTAAGTAAATCCTGTAAACGAACGGTTTCACTTCTTGTAACGTGCTTTCTGTTAATCATGATTGTTTTCACAAAGTTGGCATACGAATGACCAGTTTTATGTAAGATCCCATCTGAATTGTCCAGCGAGCCTTACCTACGATAAATCATCCGCAGAACCATCGCAGACCATGAACATAATATAATAAATTCCGGAATCAGCCTCAAAATAAGTTTATTTCTACTTTTCACAACCCCTCTCGTCAGTGATATTCATTTGTTTGAATTTCCATAGCGGTTATACAAACGTAACTGGCACGGTTGCCATTTGTGCTCAGATGCATGTGGTTAACGAACCAAACGTAACGTGAACGGCGATTATTTTGTTTGTCTTTCTGATCTACCCCTATTGAATTTGTCGAGCTGCACAAAAATAAGAACTCCAAAGAACATGTTTCAGTTCAGTTTAGTTTGTACAACCATTAACCATGCATTTTCTTGCTCCGATTTTGTTTGCTCTCTTCTANCATTAGGATTAAGAGATATAGGGAAAAATGGAATATAAAGTCAAAGTGAGAATGGAAAGTTCGGTAGACTACTATTTTAAATAAACAGAAAAAATGCACGAGCACCACTGTTTATGACACTTGGACGTATTGCTCACTTTATCTTAATATTGACTACAATGATCCCGAGGTTCTGAGTTGACCTCCGTTGGCTCTGCTCTACTCAATACCTGCCTGGGAAAACATCGCCTACCGTATCAACCTACTTGGAAACATGCGTAGCACATGTCCCAACCAACCAAACCTATAAAGATTGACCACTTGCTCAAATGGGCAACTGCGCCTAACCTCGATATGGGTTGTCCGGTTGCCCCACTATGTTCGTGCAATACTGCTCAGACAGCAGAGTTCGAAAACTGAACATTTTCCTAACCCTTGTTTTGTGATCGCCAAGATTTTACGCCGCATAGTAGCACCGTCTGAACCGCTGCAAAGAATACTCGACCCAAGTTTGACAGCTAGACTGTGTACACGTTCATTTTTTCTGATCATAACCCACAACATTTGGGAAGATATCTTATAGGTTGATTTTATATCGCAACCACCTAACTGCTTCAAGATTAATTGATAAAGCATTGAAATTGATGCTCAGTAGGGTCTGTTGAGTTTCGAGTAAAGTCGACGACTTGGGTGAACTTCAAGCCCAGATCCATAAACGACCACAAACATATACTCGACTTTTAGCATGAGTGGTAGCAGTGAAAGCAGTAAGATTTGAAAAGCTAGCCTCTGTTGAGGAAGTCATACTCAGTGCCTTCTCGTGGCAGAGGTGTTTTTACACCAAAGTGAGGACGAAAAGCCAACATTGGGGCTATAACCGGGTTGATAGACCACTGGCAGTTCACCTAGGGGAGTTGGTCACAAACCCTAATTTCATACCAACCAGGAGGCGTAAGCACCACAACCACACCTTTCAGGTTGTGGCAATGGTCACCGGCTTGATTGGGCATCGAGGTGTATTGGACACCTTGGACATCATTATCATCATCTGCATTACCATCATCATCGTACAGCGAGAGGTTAACTTCATTGATCGCTGCCAAACTCGCAATGAATACATGTTTAGTGGTAAAACTTAAGGTGGACAGAGATTGGACCTACTTTGACGGAGGGGGAAGAAGGAGAGCCACTATGATCAACAGGCAAAGTGCCCAATTGAACTCTGCATACATACCGTGTCAAGCATTCTGCCCTGATAAGAGATGACAACAAGAACGCCACTGCTGTCGGTTAGTCGCCACAGTAGTGGCACCTTGGACGTTTGACCCCGTCCGAAGGGTGTATGATCCGATGAAATGGACACCAGCTCCCAATGGATTGCGGTTTTCACACCGCCGCGCTGCCTTTCGGGTCAGGCTTTAGCTAGCCGAAGGCTCCCATTGTGGATTCCTCGAGAAAATTCACCTGCGTGGGCCTGGGCAACCTGGCAATATTCGGCCTTCACGCAAATTATGGAACGCTTTTCTTTTCATAAAGATGATTGTACCTTGATTTGTTTGGCACACAATTTGGCCTCAGACCGATGCGAAATATAAAACAAAAAACTGAAAATCAGGTCAGTCGACTTTGGTCATCAGCTCTGAGTCAGTTGTGTGCATCGTTTGCTTTGCAAGGGCAACTACTACGAGAACACAATTTCTATAGCTTCGGTCTACCTCGCAAATGTCAGGGAATACTTGAACACTGAGGATTTCGAGTGGGATCCTAATTCTGCTTGCTAAAAGTAACCTCTCTTTTTTTAAAACATCACATACCTAGCTGAGTACCATTATTTATAGGCTTGGTTATGTTTGCTTACCTTTTTAAAACATTCACTGCAGTTAAAATGAATATGGTACGATGTTGGGGGGGTAAAAAGACGCAATTAACCAGTTGTCAGTGAGCATAGAGCAGAGATCAAATTAGATCGTAATGATAGCATTTAGATTAAGACCCTCCTAACAAATGTAACTCTGACCTAAATTTGTTGACCACCGTCAATCAAGTATCGATTTCTCACAGCGAGTACAACTGTGTCAGACGAACAATAATGATGTTCCAACGGTTTAAGTTCTACTTTACGTTACTCTGTTATGGTTGGTTCCTTAGAGAGGATTATACGGCTCCATGACTTACTCCTATTTCCATGACTAATGGTAATAGTCGTAAATCAGGACACTAGTTCATAAAGACTAGTTGTGTACCATAAACTGAAGAACTCAACGGATTTGACATCGAAAACATCATGTGCAACGGTTGCCGGAAAATAGTTGGACACAACTTAGATGGCCTACAATGAATTTACCAACTGCTGAAAGCGTAACACTAATTTTTGACACTAGTCTTACATAAAGAAGATAAGTAATTCAAACAATTTAAGGTTTGTGGGTCATGCAATCATTGATGTGGTTTAGCCTGGTTACAAAACATCTGCGAACATTTCCAGCTTGAAGAACACATCAAAATCAGCATACCAAGCTAGGATTCTTCCAAATTGTATTCAAGCCACCAGGTATACTTTAATTCGAACTGAATCAAATATAACACCGATTCGAGAATCGTACTTTTGTTTTGATGAGTTTTAATCCGTTTTGCTTAACCCAGTGATTATTCAAATTAACTTAACAATTATACTGAAGACAATAAGTTGAATAATTTGTTACTTATGTTATGAAAAATGAATACCAAACTAGACTACCAATTTAAGAGCACGGATACATTTGATCAACCTTTATTACTATATTATCAGATAGCTTCGCACTAGAAAACATCAGAAACCCTTTTGAAGCCTAAAATGAGGAAACAAAGATTAGCTATGGAAACGCAAATTGTGCACAAAATGCAATTGAGACTTCAACGGTACTCATTCAAACGCACGAAAATTACTGAATTACCCAACACTTCATGCGTACCCATAATAATAATTGTACAGCAACAAAGTCTGCTGTGGATGACATTTCACAACTAACAGTTACTAGGATTAGAGGTGAGTGAGTTTGACTTCGGTCCTGCATCACTCATGTTGTGCACAACGGACTAAACTATTTGGAATACATGAAAATATAAATAAAATTGCCTTTCTAGATTAAAATTGAAAGGGAAAATTGGGAGCAGCACCAAAATCAAACTCACCCCCGCGCTTTAGCAATAATGCGACGCATATTGCTGCACTTTTTGTCCAGACTTTCCGAATTTCGGTCTCCACCCCAATCGGTCAAGACCAGAGCTTCAGAAAGGTCTGGAAGATAGAATAGCAAAACAATCATACAGTCCACGTAACAACAACGATGGCATTTAGAAAATCTGGTAGAATTTTAGGTTCACGAAGGGGTTAAATTCTACCAGATTTTCTTCATGCCATCGTTGTTGTT